AATAATAATAGCATAAAGCTCTGTGGTGGTCCAGATGTGCCTCACTATAAATAATTTACTCCATCGGTCAGGAACCATGTTTGTTTGCTACAGACTGCAGATCTTCTTTATTGGTTTCAGTGCAAAAGACACGCAAAGAAATGCCACAAAACATCTGAACACTTCTAAACTCTTATCATCTGTCAACATCTGCAAATCCTTCAGCTCTACGTATTAACACACAACCGAAGTCCACGGTGACAGTCAACACATCGAAATGCACTCTAATGAGGTCAGAAGAGCTCAAATGGACCTAATAGAACATTAAAGAATAGAAACGCTCTAAAGCTGAATGCAGCTCTGAATGGAGACGCTAACTTTCCAAACTTCAACTCCTTCAGTCGCTTCTCAGGAATCAATCTGTTGCGACTCAACTGTAGTTAAAATATGTTGTAAACGTTAAATACTTTCTCCATTTGGTGATTTTAAAAAACAAAACAGAAAGAAAACGCAGTTTATTAGAGTCGTATTGTGAGTGTTGGTCGCTGTTAGCTGTCCAGCTAACGAACGCTAAACTTTACCTGCTATCAGGCTACTTCACTTAGCAGCTAACAGCTGAGTTAGCCTAGCTAGTAAGTTAGCAACTCTCTGTAAAAGTCTGCCCACAGCCCGACTTACCTTTTTCACTTTTTTCACATCATCCTCCATTTCTATGTCCAGATCCGCTTCATATTCCGCTCAGCTTCCAGGAGAGACGACGTGGAGCTGCCGAAGACAGCAGCTAGCCAGCTAGCCTAGCCTAGCCTAGCCTAGCCTAGCATTGGTAAAGCGATGCCCGATTTTGAGCTGATAGCAAAACGCCATCCTGGTTCCTGTTTGATCCTCCAACCGTTAGGAAAACTGCCGGAGTTCCTCTAACATGTAAAAATCGCCGTTTAGTGCCGTTAGAATAAGAACGGGGAGATTCCGTAAAGAAAACAAACTCCAACAAAACAGTCAAAACTTTTCAATCGTGCCGCCATTTTGGGCGTTGAGCTGAGATCCAGCATGCTTTGCTCCGCCCGAAGCACAGCAGCTGAGCGCGGACACGGACAC